AACTCTCGCCGGCCCGGAGGTTCTCAACAAACGCCGCCGTCGCTATTTTTTTATTATTTTTTTTTTTTTGCTTTTTTCTCTGACCATCATCATTACCGATAAACACCGTTATTATCGCGTTGTCATCGCCGCGCGTACGCATTGTCCGGTGTGATGGGCACTGCCGAGTGAAAACCGTCGGACCGCTCGACAATTGCTAACGCTCGGTTGTTTTTTAAAACTGTCCACTGACAGTCAAAACTGGTCGGTACCGCCCATCACAAATATTGTCGTAAAACCGTTTTCCGAGTACACGGCCCGGCACCCAAATACGGTGATTTCCGATCGAACCACGCCGTATGACCTATCGATAATCGTTTGTTGTCCACGCGTTCACGTTATCGGTATCGTCCGAACGTTCCGAATAGTTCGCCCACGTTTGTTCACTCCTATCGTCCCGTTCTCGAGTCAGTTTGCCCTTCTCGTTGCCTTATTAATAATTATACGACGCGTATAGTGGCGAAAACAAAAAAACCAAATACTTAAACCGCGATCGATTAACGACGCGCGACGGAACACAAATCTATTACTGTTCAACGTGAAATAAAAACCATTTTTCGGAGAACGCGCCTTAAGTACCGCTTGTGCGTAAACGCCTACCGGACAAAACGATAAAAAAAAACATCCAATAGCTCGTAAATGTCAAAATACAGAAAATCGATCTCGGGCGCAAAGGTCCGATATAAACACGAAAATATTACGTACGGACAATATGCCCACCGGTTTAATAACCACCGGCGATAATGTGGAAAGATAAAAAAAACAAATTCGGTAATATTTCTCGTCGCGCGGCCTTTGACTCGGGCAATCGATTTCCGCGATCCGCAAACCGCGAATCAATTACGAGGATCGTTTACACGCATTGCACGTTCACCCGCGGGTTCGCCGGATTATTATCGTTTTTTTTTTACGTTCGAACGGCCCCGCTCGACAGTATTATCTTTGGGGACGACGGTCGTAAACGGACATCGGCCCGAAAGGGGAGGTGGCCCGCCGTGTTCCCCGATGACATTGTACCGTTGTACAGACGTGTACACCGTGCGACAAATACGCCGCGGCATATGCCCGGACATGCGCGACTGGACGAGCGAGGCGTGCCGGGTTTCCGCCGAAAGTGTACGCGTTCACCTTATACGCCGAACGAAAAAAAATTCCGCCTAATATTCGAATGTTAATGGACAATTTGTACACAATTATTATTAATTAGACGATTAATGGGTAAAACAAATTAGGCGAGTGTTTTCTATTTGCGTGTGGTAAAAATTTTGTTAATTATTTATTGAATACTGGGTAAAAAAAAAAAAAAATAGTTTTTAATACTCATAACGATTGTTCATACCACAATTTTTCACACGAAAAATATCAAAAATATATTTAATTTTTTCTTTTTTTTTCCTCTTAAGATACCTATAGCGTAGTGTAATTTTTTTCGTTTGGAGGAAACGGGTAACTCCCGGACGAGCGTGCAGTATCGCAACCGCGGTCATTCGGGTAACTGTCGTTCGTTCGGTCTGGTTTGTCTGGTAATTCGGTTCGTAACCGAAAAGACGAAAACATTCGACGGTTCGTCGCGCGGTTATTTTCGGTATTATCATATTGTACGCGTATAATATCGAACGCATTGTGCCAAGTATCCGTTTTATTATTAGCTGTGCATGCGTTGAAGAAAAGAAAAAAAAAGCGTATACTTTCGATAAGGACTACGCACACCGGTCGCGCCGTCATCAAACGTGTAGGCGATGAATCTCGAGATCTATGTGTAAAACACGAATGTACCAATTTTTCGTTAAAACGAACAAAGCCGTTATTATGTTATTATTGGGGGGGTAGAAGAATACGATTCGATATAATTTTTTATTTACACCGCGAAATCGTCGTTGTACTTGTCTAAGCGTGGTTTAAACGGGGGTTTTTTTTTTTTTTTAAGTTTCGCGTTCGTTAAATAGTATTTAATAAATACGATGGTATAAAAATTATACGTACTAATAAATTTCGACGCTATAATAATACCTTTGTTTGTTTTAACAAAAAGATTAACACTTTTTTTACATAGAATTTACACGATACAACAGTGTAGATTTGACACCTATTCGCATTTGATGGTGCGACAATGGTGTTATTAGTAATGCATGTTATAGCCTATGGAGTAATGCGGTATTCCCTATTAAAAATATAGTAAAAAATGTATAAATTCTGTATGTAAAAAGCGTACACTTTTTTTTAAAACGAATACAAATCTATTCTCCGGTTTCGTTAGATCACTGTGGATTTAAGCTACTATTTGTGTATGACGAACTGTACAATAGTTTATCGGACTACGGTCATTGTACGAAATAAAATCGGACGTGAAACAGTACATTTAAACGGTGTATCTTTTCATTATTGTAGCGGCGAAAACGAAAATATACGATTTTACCGACAATATAACGAACTTGCCGTAATGTTTTGCGATTTTGAAGAGACTGAAAACAGTTATTATAGAGCCTGCATTGAGTTGATATGAGTATCACTAACGCGGATTTAGTTTTTGAGATTTATCATTAGTGTTTAAGACTTGTCTTGTTGTAATTATATACGTATACGTATATAATTATTGCAGATATTGCAGTACAATCGTCATTATTATGCGGGGTAGTGAGAGGGGTACCGCAGCATCGGAGTTGCGAATTAATAGCTATATACGTGTATACGCTATAGTGTACCCTATATAATTAGCGCGCGTAAAAAGAGTGTAATTTTCTCGCCTTTTTTTTTTTTCCTTAAAACCGTCACACGCCAATATAATTATACCGCCGGCTGTGTACTATTGAAATCGAACTGACTAATTACTCGATAGCCGTACACTTGTTCGGTATCATGTGTATTTCTACCCGATTACGGTGACGAACTGCACTTGATTACACGTCGGGGTTTATCGATGATCCGCCTATGCACTGCTCTTCTTCCTTATTCACTTCGCGCGTTAGATCGCGACATTCACAACACCTGTTGTTATACGCGAGATGCGCCCGGTGATTTTATTCCAAACGACGCGGTTGCAATCAAAGGGTTATTACTAATTACGTTTCCGCGAAAAAGGCATTATTGAAATAACGTTTTAAAAAATTGTTAAAAAGCGAGTAGGTGTATTGCGTTAATATCATGAACGGAACGGGTATTAATTGTACAGTACCTCCTACATTCGAACGGTTTAGTGTAATTTTATTTTCGAACGTTCGCAGGATAAAAAGGCGGATAGCGTACAATGTAATAAGACGTGAAACGTTTAATTTAATTTAGCCTACACCGCGGTGTTGCTGTGCAGCGGCAGATGATGTTCAGTGAAACACTCGTTGACGGAGTTTTTTTTTATATAATATACAGATTTTGAGCGAAGCGTTGGCGTACAATATGTAACTGAACGTATTTTTCGACGGTTTAATACGTAAAAAATGTGAAAAAAAAACAGCTGATACCGGGGATGGGAGCGGCCACTGTTGTACGCGAGAAGTTGTGAAGGTAAGATACATAAATATATATTTCGTTTATATCTGTAAGCAATGATAAACAATTGCTTGACGAAAGACGATTTCGAGCGTAGTTCGGTAGTACATAATTTGAAGTGCCGTAATTTGTTTTGCGACTTTCGTTAAAATTTTATTTCAGAACGCTTATTGAACGTGCTATACGCTCGAAACGTACGATATTGTGTTGTAAATCCGTCGCGAATAGCTGCGGACAGTGAATATTGAAATCGAAATTCGACACATCCGGATAATCGCCGTGGTTTACACGTAGATTTACAGAAGAACCGTGCCGCGGATTCATTTCGATTTTGTTTTTAAAAGTTCCGGCGTGCGTAGGCCGAAACCGACGCGTTCGCTAGTGGAAAACTAGTGAAATTTCGGACGAATTTCCCGGACGGACGGAGGAGTAACAAATAAACACACACACACACACACACACACACACACACACACACACATTTTTCATTCCGAACGAACTTTGCGCAAACGATTTTTTTCGTTCGTCTTCTCGTATGCAATATAATCGTATTGTCGATTCGCGTTTTGAATTTAATTTTAAAAACCAATTATATCGAAATGATTCACCGGTCACACTCCGCCGCCGCTACGGCATTGGCCCACTGGCACTGGATTTTTATTATTTCGGATTCCTCGAGTATTATATTATGTGCAGCGACGAAGCGACTATATTATTTTAGTTTTACCGGTTATTTTTATCTCTACACTGAAAAACACTTTTACGGTTCGTAAAAACACGCCGATTTTACGTAAAAAGACGCGGGAATTTATTTCCGTCCGGCGGCGGTACTTTATTATAATTGAAAAACCGTTCGAAATTCCTTTCCGTTCCAAAAGGAAAACGAAAACACGCGGACAATGTACTCTAATAATTATTATGTAAACAAACTGCGGTCCCAAGCTCCGCCGTGAATCGTTTTTTGATCGCTGCAATATCGAATCATATGCACTGTAAATATTTATCGTTTCGTTCTCGGAATAAGTATTTAAAATTACCCAATATTCCCATCGCGGTGCGAAATACATGTCTGGCTTTTTTTCTTTTTTTTTTTATTACGCTCCACGCGTAAGTATATATATATATATACACGAAAACATATTGTATTTTGTTACGCGTTTTTACGGCGGCGGCGGCGGCGTCGGGACGAAACAAAAGAATCGAACAATATAATAATATAATAAAAAAAAAAAAAAGCGAGAAAAAGTGTAATATTATTCTCTCCGTCGACCTATCTGTTCGCGATACAAATTTACGGTTTACGAGTGTGTTTGGGGGAGAGGGAAGTGAATGTGAAACGTGTTTAGGTCACAATAATTATTGAAATTATAAAATAAACAAAAAAAATAATAGTAATAAGTGTTTTGTATACAGTATTATAATAATGTAACATTACAATTTCTGATATACTGCCGCAACTATATTATAGCCGCCGCAATGACAGCACACGCGGTAAACGCAGTAAACAATAATAGTAAGTAATTCGGTACGAAAAAAAAATTAAAACATTGTTGCAAAAATAATAAACCCGTTTTTATCGTGTAGACAGCAGTTCCCAAACTTTTTTTAAATTCAAGCATCCATATAACAAATAGAACCGTTTACATAGGCCTTCAGCCGGATGCGGATTAGGTTCGTTTTCTAGGGGGAAGTGGGGACAAAATCCTTTTGTGTCAAAAATCATATTTTTGACTCACATGACCAGATGGGTCAGTCAGTCAATGCGTTCCCCGGCCGCTTAACGCGATAGCACAACTGTCTGCAGAGGCCGTGATTATTATCTATTAACACTCTGAACTTCTGTACACAAATTTCTGAAAGAAATTATTATTAACAGGTAGTTTGTTGTCTAGGGGGACATGGCCCCCCATGCCCCGACCCCTTCTAAACGCCATGCCTGCCCCCTGCGTTTAGGAGACATAAAGTATTATGGATTAAAAATTGTAGTGTTGTTTCGTTATCGGAAAAAATCTCCTCGCCGCCGCCCCAACAATGATGTTTATTCCACTGGTGAGCGGTCGTAAGCCGTCCGTGCGTGGCGCGCTTCACCGTTTAGGAACCGCTGTCCAGGAGGAGGAGGTATACAGACGAGTACGGTTTTTTTTTTTTTTTCACGGTCTACCAACTGAATTATACGAATTTCAATATAATATACAGTCAATACAGTCGCGGTAATTGTATAATATTTTGGCCAATTGGTATACAATCCGTTTCGAATAAAATAATACGTCTAAAACTTTTTCAAATTTGTGTTCGGCTGTATTTCTTATCGGTTCCATCCGTTTTAATTATTATTATAAATGTGGGTTTTTTTTTTGACGGATCCGAAATATTTCGTTTGTCAATAGTAAGTAATCCCAGTAAATTCTCCGCGATATTCCGCGCGAAACAAACGCGTACAGTTAGAGCGAACGACAACACGGGATATTTGAAGTTGATAATTATTCGATCGCAACGAAGAATAGGGCGATTTTCGTCGTTTTTTTATTTTTATTTTGCGGGTCTAAACGATACGTATGCGTGCAATGCATTCTTACACCACTTCGGTCACGTTATACTAAAAAAATAAAATACTTGAGGTCGCACACATTTTTCGTACGACATTAAGAGCGTAGGAAAGTTTTTTTGTATTTTTCACACGTTGCATTTAAATATAAAAATACAGCGCAATCAAATTAATTTATCCCTTTAAGTGAGCCTGCGGTAGGATAAATGACTTTAAATGTAAATTTTAAATTCTTTAACTATTTATACGACCTATGTAAAAGCCTAAAAAGACACTTCATCTGACCAGTTTACAATAGAGTTTTTATTTATTACATAATTAGACTTTTTGTTCGTACTATAGAATATATATATTTTATTTTAAACACGGACGCTACGAAATAAAAATTAAACGGCCCTATAATTAATCCGGAAAATTGTTACCAATGTTTTTTTGTTGTGTACCCAACTTGAACGTCATTAGCTCTATTTTCACGCATGTTTTCAACGTGTTTGAAACTACTGTTTTTGTAGATGCCACCTACATTTGAACGACACGAATCCTCATCTAGAGAAAACTGATGTTATCAAAGATCTCGGTGAGTACTCTTCGATCCGAAACTAACATTTAAACCAAATATTCACCACACGAGCATTACAGCTCTCAAACTACTATTGGTTTCGTACTGCTGCCGACTTCGAGGATAAAAACACTTTTGTTTCAATTTATCGTTCCTTATTATTACGCTCTACTTTCGATTACGGCGCCGTTACCTGGTCTCCGTACAATATCGGTTTATAAACTATATGTTAGAGGAAATTTCGAAACGAGTTCTTACGGTTTCTAGCTTATAAACGTAATATACTAGTAGAACTCTCCGTTCTTCTTACAATCTTTTACTTACTCGATCTCGCGTCTCCCGAGCAACGCGGAATCAAACTCGATATTTATATTTCATTTATAAATTACTAAATTAATAAATAAATGGCCGTATTGATTGTCCCGATTTTTCACTACCGTCCGAAGCTTCTTTAACTAACACCGGATCAATAATAACCTATTTCGTTTAAAAAACGCGATGAATCCGCATCGCCCGTCTCAGTCCAACTACCGGGTAACACGCAAGAACAATGGTTACGCGGAATAAATAAAACTAGCTGAATTCTGATATAAGAGTAAAAGTGGCGTGTTGCGAAAGTTATAGAGAACAATTTTTCGGATGGAATGGCAAAGGTATGTTTGGAATTATGCACTATTAAAAAAATTACGGTTATCGAAAAACCGAAATAAACAATACGGTTTTTTGTATTTATATTTTATGCAGCTGTGCGTTTTGAACATTACGAAAACCCAACGGAATTCTTTCCGAAATAACGTTCTCTTTAAATCAAGCTAGTTTCACATGTTCTGCGTAAGCATTGTTCTTGCGCGTTACCCGGTAGTTGGACTGAGCCGATAAATGCGGGTGTAACGTCCTCTTAAAAACCCTAACCGGTACTAATTATGGTACCCGACGCTCCGTTATCTAGAATTACGAACTTTGTAATTACATCTGTGCAACTGTTCAATTACATTCGATTATTTTTATAAATCACGTCTCTGTTAATCTGACTTTTACTTAAATCGATACGCCTTTGTTTATTCGTATTTGATTGCGTACATCGCGCATTTTATTTTCACCAACGTCTGTGTTCAAAAACGTTATTGTTATTAAATATTTTTTCGTATGTTTTCGGGCCCGAACCCGTTTGATTTTCGAAATGAATAAATAAATATGCGCGGAAATTCCGATTTGCTGACGTTTTTAAGCGTGGTTAAAGACGATATTATGATCCCGCGTCGTCGTTCGCTAGCGCCGTATCCGCCGCGCGAGTCTCGCCGCCGCGGCCGGGAACACGCCGGTAAACGAAATCGACTTTTCGGTATTGTTTCGCGCGGCCCGATCGGCCCGGCGCAGTTGTCGGGCCCCTCGGTGATACACGCGGCCCGCCGTCGTGCGGCCGCTTTTTATCGGCGCCGCGGCGTACGCGTATTAATGTCGCCGCGTTACCTGCGCGGCGTTACGGCGCGGTGTTTTTCGAACGCGCGCGTGGTTTTCGGCGTTCGGATCGACAGCCGTCGGACGGGATGTAACAATAACAGAGCAAAAAAAAAAAAATCGAAACGAAACGGCCGACGTTTTATGGCATGCATCGACCAACGGCGAAACGGAACATTAGACATACCGCGATTCGACGGTCGATTTTTATTTTTATTCACGCGTACAACGTCGTTTTACTTCTCGCGCAGTGAAGTGTAAACAAACAGGGGAGAAAAAAACAAAAAACAAAAATCGACTAAAATTATTATCGCCCGTGCCGAAATCGCGTTGCGCGCGTCTCGCGTCGGAAATATTACAAACGAATTTTCATACGCACACAATAAAAGTAATATATTTTGTATACAGTCGAAAACGCATTATTTTTCTTACATAACAACGTGTAAATAGTAATGTATCATATAACAATATGGAACGGCGGTAGGACCGGAGGAGAACCGGTAGGACATTGGACGCGGGGCAAGCATGGGCGGCGGATGTCGTCGTTTCCGCTCGGCTCGTTATTGGTCCTCGAATTCCATTAGCTTGTACTTGACCAGCACGTCGTGCATTTCCTTCTGGGCCCGTACGGCCTGCCGCGGCTGTAGCGTCTCCAACGACGTGGCCATGTACTTGGAGAACAGTTCGATGGACGACTGTTGCTTTTCGTACACGAATCTTTTCGCGGGCGGCGGCGGCGAGTCGTCCGGGGGCTCGTGCAGATGGTGCGACTGATGCGGATGGTGTCTTTTGCCGGTGCTGACGGTCGCGTCGCCGCCGTTGTCCGCGTACGAATAACTGGAATAGCCCTCTTCGTCTTCGGCGTAATCTATCGACTGGCGAGGGGGCGGGGGAAAAAAAAAAAAAACCGTAAATACTGTGCAATGTTACACGGGTCTCCGCGCGTTTTTTCCCGTACGGAGGGACGCCGTCGAGTACACGCGATGGTTGGCAAGCGTGCGCGCGGGGTATTTTAACGAGCGGCCGCGGACCGGTAGTACGGACGGGCGTTGATAATACGCGCGGCGTTTTACGCGGCCGGAAAAACCGTTGCGACGGATTACGCACGGGACGCGCGTTCGTAACGGGCTCGGCGACGGATCGAACCGAACGTGTGCCGGGGATCGCGCCGAGCACGCGGAACGTCTGGTGCAGCAGTTTCCCGAAACGCGGGAAGAAAGGCGCGACGGCGGGAAAAGCGAGCTCGCCGCTGTATTCGGTTGAAAACGACTTGTTCGGCGGCGGTTACGCGTATGGAAATAGGCCGGGAAACGCCGACGGCCGCCACTGACACGGAACGCGGCGGACACCCGATAAGCGAAACGAAACGGAAATAAGGCCGTCGGACACCCGGAGACACCGCGCGGCCTGTATCGCATTTCGCAAACTCGAATACAATCGCATTGAACAGTGCCGGCGGTTTACGGCGGCCCGGAGAACGGAACGGTACGAGAAACCGGATCGTTCGACGAGTGCGACCCGGAGGGTTGGCGCTGATCTCGGTGTCCGCCGGGCCGTGCGCGACGTTTTTCGCGGTGCTGTTTTCCGGAAACCGCCGGACGGATGAAAACACCGCGCGGTCACGAGGGGNGGGGGGGGGGGGGGGGGGGGGGGGGGGGGGGGGGTTGGCGAACTCGGCGACCGATTTCCGCACATGACTAATATACTCACCAGCATTTCGGCGGTGGACGGTGACGAGTAGAGCCGCTTGACGGCCGCGCCGCCGATCATCGAGTCGATAATCGGGAACCACGCGAGTTTCGGCACGTACGGGGACGCGGCGTCGCCGTCCTCCTCGGACAGCACCAGGTGCCGGTGCGCCGAGTCCTTGATCTTCTTCAGCTCCTGCAGATACGTGGACCGGATGTTTTTGATCTTGCTGGCCACCTCGGGCACGCCCAGCCCGTCGACCGCCATGCCGTCCGCGATGCGCCGGTACGCGCGCAACCGGTCCGTCCGTTTGTTGTACGCCTCGTGTTCCTTGTCCCACAGCAGCCGCTGGTCGCGGTACAGCTCGACGAACCGCAGCGTCATCTTTTCGTTCAGCCGGACGTTGATCACGGACGACATGATGGCGCGAGTGCCGTTGCTATCGGCGGTATCGTTGTCGCGAACGGGCGGCGGTTAGTGCGGTGTGCCGCGCCGCGGGGACGGAGACCGAATAATATTCGGTACTATTATTGTAGTCGTCACGGGCGGGCGGGCCGGAATCGTAAAAACCGACGGAAAAGAAGCGCGGACCGAAAAGAGAGAGAGAGAAAAAAAAAAACAAACCTCGGACAAACAACGTCCGTCCGACACCCACGCGCTCTGCGGTCATACTGCCGCCAGTGCCAGACGCGAGTGTGCCACTCAACCGACGGTGGCCGCGTAACGTTTTTACCTCCTACTCGTCTCGGTCGCTGGTTCCGCGGAGCACAGTGCGCGCCGCCGCCGCCGCCGCCGCCGCTTTCCCTCCGCCTACCCGCCGAGACCGCAGCCGCCGCCGCCGCCGCCGACACGGCCGCTCGCCCGCCGCCGTAGCCCGTAAACGCGCAGTAAATACGCGCGCGCAACGAAAATACCGTTTTCCGTTTGTTTTGACGGGTATTTCGATTCGATATTTTTCGCGATAAAACGCCGTTTCCCCCTCCCCCCCTCCCTTTTTATTTTTTTTTTTTTTTTGCTCGTCGAGCGCCGACGTATCGGTTTTACCGACGACCGGTCGAATACGTTTTTTGTCCCGTCCCGAATCGATAGCGCGACGAGCGGGGTTCTTTTGATTGGAAGTTTTTCCTATGCCGATACGGTCGACGCGCGAAAAGGTCGATTTTCGATTCCGTCTCGATAACGGCCGAGTTTACACGGCCGCGGCGAGTCTGGTATACCGCGCGGTTTCGTATAGTTATTTTAGATATCGGTGAGACAACCGCGTGTGCAATCGATGGATAACGAGATACGTACAAAATTCTCAAAAATGCGTTTTTTTTCCATCGAAATGCCATCGGGGAAAAAAATTGTTTGGGGTTGTTAAACAACAAAAAAAAAAAAATAAAAAAATATGTTTGATTAAATCCACGAATTCCACAGCTTATATTAACACGGTCAGTTCAAAAACGTAATCGATATTTTATTCTGACTTTTGTGAATTCTTCACAAATTGAGTTTAAAAATCAATAAATTAAAAAGTATTCAAAACGATCGGTATTGGCGGGAATCCGATGTGTCTTACCCGGTTTCTGGGTTAGTGGGTTAGTACTATGACTGAAATCACGCCTTATCGTGCATATTAGATCGATAACGTTATTAACACGTCCTTATCAGTATGGTAACATTAGTATAGGTGCTTGGATGTTTGGTAAGACACATTTAAATTCGCGGAAAACTGATCTTTTTAAACTGGTTAAATTTTTAAAAAGTATTAAATCGTAAAATAATGAAAAAAAAATAAAGAAACAAAACTATTTTTTTTATCGGACAAAATTATAGAATCGGGGAAAATGCATTTAAAAAATGTTAACAATACCCATTGGTGCAACGTAGCCGGGTACGTCCAATCAACGCACTGAAAAATACACGATTTTTTTTTCCATTCTGTTCGGTGCAATAATCTTCGTCTAGACGGTATGTTTTTTGTGTCTCATGAAAAATTGTAAATACGGTCGCATCTTGCACCGGCGCCTTCAGTTTTCCGCAGAATCGGCCTTTTCCATGCAGACGCGGTAAAACGTTCTGACGATTTTTCACGTTGATTATAAGCGGGACGGAGATTTCATTTTTTTTTCGTTTTACGTGGATAAAAAACGATTATATACGGCCGAGCAGAAACGTTTGAAAATTTAACGCGAGATTCGTCAAAAGTTTGACGGCGAAAAAAAAGTCAAACGTAATATCGTTTTATTATTATTATTTTTTTTTTTTTTTGAGAACGAGGGATTTATTATGAAGTGTGTTTTTATTTTTATTTTTTTTTTTTTTGCGTCTATACACGAATTCTTTCCTGGAAATCTTTTTCCGATCGATTTGTATTTGTTTACAATAAGCGGCGTCTAAAGTTAAAACATGTTGACACGTTCGACCGAATTCCGCTCAGAATCGTTATTCCGTTAGCGGCGATTTATCGATACATAGAATAATGTATAAATTAAATGACCTCTTTAAAACTTCCAGTTTTTTTTTTTTCTCAAATTTATTTTACATTCAATCCGAAAATATGCGCGCACGTTTAAATATAAATATTATATTTCGTGACGTTTCTCGCCGCATTTCCTCCCTCCCGTACGAATCGATACGCACCTGGTTTTTAAAGGAAAAAAAAAACACAATCTCGTTTAGGAATTGATTTTAATATTATATTATATTAACAGGAGGGGCAACGTTTACGATATTAAATTCGCGTGCTCGAAACATACGAGTATCTTAAAAACTTTTTTCGCGAAGTTATCTCGCGGGTGTGTGTCTAGAGGTAAATATTTTTTATTTGTTACGTTGCTATTATTATTTTATTATTTACGCACGCGATAAATATAATACGATTTTGATTTATTGAGCAATACGTTATAACCGCCGATTCCCGTCCGATGGGCGTGCCGTTGTTTCAAGAAGCGAGTTTAAAGGTCGAGGATATGATGCGTAGTAATTTACTACGTGATGTGTCTGTGCGCAACGGTAATCTGCTATAACTAACGAAAAACGATTCTGAGTATTTGTTAGCGGTATTTCGTTCCTGCAATGTCGCCGGGTTAATCCATCCGTAAATCATGCCATCTATCCAGTTTATTCAAGAAAACGACTACGCGGACAAAACCGAAAAATGACCACACCGACGCATCGAGTTTTCAAGCAAAATCTCTGGCGTGAAAAGACGTTTACGGGCGCGCCGAAAAATAATCTAAAATCCAGTCCGAAATTTCGATTCGACAATCGCGAGTGAATCCGTTTGCGCATCGCTATATATACATTTAACAGCATTTTTTTTTTTTTATTTTTTTAATAGATTCGCGAAACAAAACATTATTTGGACGCGTGTACACCTATGTATATATATATATATGAACAGTATATTTCGGTCGAACAAGTTTTCTAATTAAAAAAAAAAACAAAAACAAAAACATACAATAAATAAATAAATAATAAACTACTACAATATAGTATAAAGTTTTATGTATTCTTTGTCGTGGAACGGAAAAATAAAAACCGCTGTGCGATGAAAACTTTAGATATCACCCCTCCCCCTCTCACCGTCACCGGCCCGAGCGAGAAACAAACGACGCGATGTAATAAAATAAATTTCCGCGGACCGTCGACGAAACGATAGTTACTGCCGGTCCAATACGCTGTTTAGTAGTTATCCGTCCATTTGTTTGAGTTAGCGAAAAAAAAAAGAGAAAGGAAGAATCTTCGGAACAATACCTATACATATAAGTATATAGGTACTGCACGTACCGCAGTAATCAAAGGTCGAAATTACCCGAAAATTCGCTCGGATTTCCGTCCGTATAAAACGGACGACGGCCAGTGGCGTATCTTACGCGGGATGATGGGCGATGGGGAACACGGCGGCATCGGGATTTCGCGAACGGAGTGTAGGTATAAAATACAAAGCCGACAAAGGCGTTCAAAGGATTTTTTATCGGGCGAGGGATAATATGAATATTTACTAGAAAGTTTGTCGCGGGGATAAGCCCCTGCGCCCCATTTCTTATATAAAATCATATATATATATCTTATATATATCAAAAACATTGAATTATTACGTATTTTTTATATTTTTAATTAAAATATTGAATTTACAAAATGTTATCGATTGATTTTTGAACCAGTATATCAAGAATTTCTTCGGGGTTAATTGGGACTTCTTTATGGACGTCCAACAATGTTAATCCACAAAGACGTTTTTAAATATTGTTTACTAAATTGTTTACTAAAATCGAAACCTAACCCAACGAACCAAATCCAGGGAAAATGTATTAACACTTTCATCAGTGTGCGGATAGGTTATTATTTATGAACTCAGCTGATAATAAACCAGAACCGCGATAAAGCTATTAATCTGTAATCACAGACACATAGAATACAAACACGGTCTGTAACCGTGGGTGGTCCGTAATCTGTATACGAATATCGTGGAAAATGATAACGAATCAAAATATTGATTATATTTATTTATTTGATTATTATCACTAAATATCAGTTAAACAGAAAATTCCACAATATTAGCTAAAAGAAGTCAATGGGGGGAACCTTCCCCCATACCCCCTATCCCCGTGAGGATGCACATAAAACCCGATATCACATATCTCTGAGTTACTCAAACGACGATTTATGAAAATAAGCCGCACATATAATGCACTGCATGAGGGACAAAAACAAGTCAATTTGTTATTTTTATTGTTTGCATTATGCATTATTATTAATTATTAAATTGTTTATCAGTTTTTTTTTTTTCAATCCCACCTACGAAAATATTTAAAATTTTCAATGTAAACTGTGATGTTTTAATGATTTTTTTCACAGCGTTATAATATATAGGCCGTTAAGCGTGAATTATTATTTACTTGAGTTGTATATCAAATATTTATTGCACCCGTATAAGCAAATGCTGCCAGTGTCTTGTAGTTTTTGCGGTATTTTTTTTCCTTAGCTTTCTTAGAATTTTTTTTTTCGTTACTGCGTCCGTCTATCGACAACCCGTATAAACAGCCGAAAAATTCCTTATTTAATTGGACAACCGGGTAACACGGCAGATGTCTTATTAATAAAAAAAATCGATATCGATATTCAACGTTTTGCAACTGTCAGACTGCAGCAGTTGTTCACTGTTCATCTGCAGTTAACGTCGTGGTCATCGGTGCCGGGTGCCAATAGCTGACTATCCACCGGTATTGCCGATTAAAAATGTTATTCCTTTATTTGCGTGGGGGGGGAGGGCATAAACTAAACTCTCTGGGGAGGTATTAGCAATATCTAACCCGATTCGTGGGCAATATAGTCTCGAAAAGGTCGGGCACCACCGCTGTAAAGTAACATTGGATACATAATAATATTATTATAAACAATTTTTAAAACATCCATCTGATAAGGCGCGGAGAGATATGACGTCCGTGTACACCGGCTAGACCGCTGGAAAGCGACGTGGACCGTGACCCCGGTCTCTGGACAGTATTTGTTTTTAAATCTTATTGTCACCGTGTTTAGACACGGTACGATATCAAACGATAAACACAAATATAACTATTGTTTTAACCAATTTAGTTTTGGGTTAGTGTTTTGTTTTTGGAACATTTTTGTGAAAAATTTATATTTTTCGTAATCGTACAGTGAAAAT